GGTGAGTGGCGCGCAGGGGCAGGGGCAGGAGGGTGTGCGGCGGGCAGGGGCAGGGGCGGGGGCAGGAGCAGTTGGGAGGCGGCCTCTGAGCACTGGGCCTCCCCCTGCACACTCGCCGCCGCCCGGCCAGCCAGCCGGCCTCGCGAGTGCGCCCAGGCGCGCGCCGGGGCCAGCCCACCTGCCGACAGCAGCAGCCTGCCGGCGCCGTAGTAGCGCACGACGGCCGGCGGCGCGGCGTGGCCCGACCGAAACTTGAGCAGGCGCGCTGCGCCGTCTGCGCCGTCAAACACCCACTGCTTCAGGCTGTTGTCCCTCGCGGAGCTCATCAGCAGCGGCTCGCCTGCAGGCGGCGAGGGAAGCGGCGGGAAGGTGGCTCTCCCTGAGCTTAGCAGGCCAGCGCGCGCAGCAAGCACGTCCCCACCCCCTCGCCAAAGCCGCCGCCGGGGGCGGCAGCAGGCACAGGCCACACGAGGGGGGAGAGATGGTGCTCTCACCAGGGAAAAAGTGGAGGGAGAGCAGCGGGGCGTCGTGCGCGTCGCGCACCAGCGTGTGCAGCCGCCGCTGCTCCAGGTCCCACACCGTGACCACGCCCGCGCCGCCCCCCGCCGCCATCAGCGGCACGCCCGCGCCTGCGGGGGCGGCAGCAGCGGCATGCGCTGCTGGTCGGGCAATGCACCATAGCCATGCCGGCGTGCCGGGCCCTGCTGCCCGGCCCCACACCACCCTCTGTGCCCGCTCCTCCTCCAGCACCAGCACCAGCAGCCCGCAGCAGCCCCCGCCCTCACCCGTGCGGAAGGCGATGTTGGTGCAGGCGCCGCCGGCCGCCTGCCGCGCCGCCTGCGCCTGCGAGCCTGTGAGGTAGAGGTCGGCGTTGGTGCCCGCGCCCGAGGCGTTGTGCAGCGTCATGAGCGTCTCGTCGTACCGCAGGTTGTGCAGTATGGCCCGCCTGGAGGAGGGTGGCGGGTGGGCGGCGCGGTTGGTCAGCATGTGGGCAGGAGGAGCGTCAGGAGGAGCGGCACTTAGTGGGAGGCAAGCGTTGGGGAGCCAGGGGGGCAGCGGCTTGGTGCAGAAATGCATGCAGGGGTGCTGGGTTGTGTGCGTGTGTGCAGGAGCTACTATCAGATAACACCCGATGGGTTGCGGGATGCCGTCAGCGAAACTCCCGGCGTTGCTGTGCGCCCCATCTGAAACTCCGCCAGCAGTGGCAGGTCAGTGGCGGAGGGATTAACAGGGGCGCGGTGCTGGTGCAGGGGTGCAGGCGGTGATGTGCGGATGATGAGGCGGCAGCGGCGGCAGCAGCAGGAATCACAGAGTGTGTCGCGCCGTAACGCCACCCCCCACACAGCCCCACCCTCCGCTGAGCGACTCACCCGTCGGCCAGGCCCACCCCCACCACGTCCAGGGCTGGGGAGGGGGCCAGGCAGGCCACGGCGCTGCCCCACCCCTCAAACTCGTACAGCATGGTGGCGGTAGCAAAGTTCCAGAGCTGCAGCCGCCCCTCCTCGCCCCCCACCACCACCTTGTTCAGGTATGTGTCGGGGTGGGCCAGGCAGGTGGGGGTGAAGCCGCTGCAGGGAGGGGTGCGCGGGAGAGAGGGGTGGAGGGGGTCCACAGCTGCGGGGAAGGCCAGGATGGGAGGCCGGGAGGCAGGCAGGCAGGTGGCTGGTCACAGGCGGCGTCTGCCCCCCGCACCTGGCCAGCTGGATGGCGACCTCTGGCGCGGCATACTGCCCGATGCGCCACACCAGCAGCCTGCCGTCGCGCCCCAGGCTCAGCAGGCGGTCGCCCAGCACCAGCAGCTGCAGGATGTCGGCGGCGTGGCCTCGGTACTCGCCCGAGCGGTGCACGCGGCGGCACTCCACAATCGTGCCCCGCACCGCCGCAAAAGTCAGGTCGCCCTTGCAGGCCAGCGCCGAGATCTTGTGCTTCAGCTGCAGCATCATGAATGTGTGGGGAGGCATCCTCAAACGCGGGGAGTTGCGACAGGATACGGCAGTGGCGGCGGCGGCGGCGAGCACGGCGTTGCGTCGGCGAGAAGGCTGCCCACGGACCTGGGGCCCGACCAGCGCCAGCCGCAGTTTTTCCGTGTTGTAAATCTGCGGCAGCAGGGACAGCGGGGAGAGGCTGGGAGGGCCCCAGCTCTGTGCCCATGCATGCGCCGCTCGGCGCAGCCGCATGCATGCCGCACCCATCGCCCAGGCGCGTTCTCCCGTTTCATCCAGCACGTGCAAACCCCTGTCTCTGGCCTCGGGCCTCGTCTCACCTGCCATGCCTTGCCCACGCTCACAGTGACGAAGGTCTGCGAGCCGCGGCGCTGCACAGCGAATGGTACATCGTCTGTGATATAGCCCAGCGCCCTGAAGGGCTGGAACAGCGCACTGGGCGCCTCCATCCCGTCGTCAGGGCCTGCACATGTCCTCTCAATGCGCCACCATGCTTATGATCGACAGATGGATCCACGGTGAGCCGCGATGGGCCTGCATGGCGCTGCCCTCTGCGGAAGTACTGGTC